TTCCGGCTTTTTTCTTTTTGCTTATGTGGTGCTGAGGAATCGAACCCAGGGCCTCAGGCATGCAAGGCAAGTGCTCTACCACTGAGCCACGTTCCCAGCCCCTTATCTTTTTTTTTAAGACAATTTACCCTAAACTTTCATGATAACTAACCATTGGATATTTTACTCATGATTCTGTAACTTAGGATGGCTTGAGTAGAATGCTTCATCAGTGTTTTCTACATAGCAGCTTGGGTCTTCTTGAAAAAAATGGTTTCAAAGATGGTTGGACTTCTCACATGGAAAGTGGATTTCTTTAGAGAGCTAATATAGAAAGGCTAGACCTTTTTTAGGCTCAACTCTAATACTGGAGCAGCACTGCTTTAACATCTTTTTCTTTTTTCCTTTTTTGACTATGGGGCTGAATTTGGGGCCTAGGCTCTGTCCCTGAGCTCTTTTTTGCTCAAGGCTAGCACTGTACCACTTTGAGACACAGTGCCACTTCCAGTTTTCTGGTGGTGGTTAATTGGAGATAATTTATGGACTTTCCTGCTTGGGTTTAACATCTTCTTGGTTAAAGCAGGTCACAGAGACAATTCTAATTCATAATAAGGGAAGCATGTAAAAACGGCAATCTTAACTGGGCACCAGTGGCTACTCAGGAGGCTGAGACCTGAGGATCACAGTTCAAAGCCAGCCCGGGCATAAAAGTCTCTGTGAGACTCTTTTTTTTTCGGGGGGGGTCCGGTCGTGGGCCTGAACTCTGGGCCCTCAGCTCTTCAGCTCAAGTCTAGCGCTCTACTACTTGAGCCACAGCACCACTTCCGGCTTTTTTTTTCTGCTTAGTGGTGCTGAGGAATCGAACCCAGGGCCTCATGCATGCAAGGCATGTGCTCTACCAGTGAGCCACCTTCCCACTGTGGCTCAAGTGATAGAGCACTAGCCTTGAGCAAAAAAAGCTCAGTGTGAGTCCCAGAGTTTAAGCCCTAGAACCGGGGGGAAACGGGGGCAGGACGGGGGACAGGAATTCTAGGGAAATCTAGCAGTTATCTCCTATGTAGCCTGTAGGCCTGAAGTATCCCAGGAAGCAGCAGGTCAAAGGGCCTATGGGCCTATAACAAGTCATCAAGACTTGTTGTGATTAACCACATATGGTCATGCTCCCCCCACTTGCTTTCCTCTTTTGCCTTTTGGGTGGCTTCCCTTGCCCTCACAGCAGGACTAGACGGTGTCACTTAGCTAGGCAGCATTGCCATAGTACTTAAAGCCTTTAGCTCTGGACGTGGAAGTCTGGATTCTACTAGCAACCATGTGGTTTTGTGCAACTTCTGAACCTCTTGTATACCTTAGATTCCTCCTCATATATGAAATAAGAATGACAAGAGTCTCTACCCTATACTGTGGTGTAAGATTTAGAAATTGCCTGGAATGGGTTTCCTGCAAAGTTTGAGGTACAGATCAGATGCTCAAGAGCACACCCAAGGCTAAGGAGGATTGATTTTATCCTTAGAAAGATAACAGTTCATGAGATGCTCCCTAGCATGGCTCTGGCTCTTCGTGAAGGCACCTCCATAGTTTGGCTGGCCTCTGGATCTCCTGCCTCCTGTTTCTATTCTTGGCACACTTAGAGAAGTCTCTGAATTTTGTAGGACTCTTAGTAGTACTATTTTGTCACTGCCAGGACTCAGCCTAGGTCTCAGCCCTGGATGCCATAGTTGGGCTCATAGCTCTTTATAGCTATGGGAGCAGTAGCATCTGTGTGATAATCCAAACCCAGTCCCACAAACCCAAGTGCCCTTTCTTGTTTCTCAAAACTTTCCCATGAGGGACTTCTCTTAGTCCAGGTGGGTAGAAAAGACATTGTTTTATAGTTATTTCTCTCCTCCTTCAGCCTATAGGAAAATGTAGCACCCAAGAAGGACATAGGCATGCTCGAGTAGACCTGGATAGACAGAAAGCACAAAAGCCCTTTTGGACCACTTTACTGTGTGTTCAAGGCTTCTCTTCTCTTACCCCACTGTGTGCAGTTTTGTCTTAATCTTTAAGACTAAGTAATTGGTATTGCTCCTGTCCAGACTCTGAAGGAGGACTGACAGTCTCTTTCGCCTCCTAAGGGCATTTTCTATCAGATCAGCTTCTTTGAAGCTGTATGGGAGCTTATCTCATGAGCCTTTAGAGTGAAAGCTCAGAACCAATTCCAACTGTGTGCATGTGAGTGTGCGCAGGAGCGTGCACATGCACACACACACACACACACACACACACACACTTGTAGCAGCCCCTTGCCTGATGCTCACAGTGAACTAATTTGTCCTTTAACAATATTACTGAGCTATTGCTCAACAAGCACTAGGCTAGAGGCTGAAGATACAGTGATGAACTCAGCAGCAACTAATGTGCCACTTGCAGTTCTTGTATTCCTGGCCTTGGAAGCAGACCTGAGAACTGGACCTGTGCCCATCAGGCACAAGGTCCCTGGATTACTTTCCCCAGACTAATTGGTTTCAGGCTCTCACAGCATGCTTCCTTGTCTGGTCCACCCTGCCAGCCATAGACTCCTTATGCAGGTCTAGGCGTAGGGTGGGCCCAGAATTAGCCACAGCCACTTCTCTTGAAAGGAGAAAGTGACACTGAACATTTAGCAGCCAATGACGAAGCTTCAGCCAGACAAAATGATAAGAAAGTGGGCTTTCTGTGGAATTGGATGACTTTTTGGCAGTGGAAGATTGACAAGGGAAGCAAGGGCAGGCATTGGTCCTGCTCAGCTTCATACAGCCAGTTAGGAAGGACAGAGAATATCCCAGACTAACAGACAAGTGCAGACAGAGAGGTGTCTTCAGGTATAGCTATGTAATCCTTTCACTAAGATCTTGTGTAACTGGAGCTTTTTATCACTAACAACTCTTAGCCTTTACAAACATGTGTGTCCCTTGCTGGGTGCCGATGGTTCATGCATGTAATCTTAGCTACTAAGAAGGCTGAGATCTGAGGATCACAGTTGAAAGCTAGCCTGGGCAAGAAAGTCCATAAGACTCTTATCTCCAATTAACTAGTCAAAGCCAGAAGTGGGGCTGTGGCTTAAGTGTTAGGGTTCTAGCCTTGATCAAAAAAAAACACAGGAACAGCGCCCAGGCCCTGAGTTCAAGCTTCAGAACCAGCACCAAAAAATAAAAAGTGACCCTAGGAAGTGGCAGGCAAAAGTTTAGAAGTGCCTGTTGGACTTTTGTTACTTATAGAGATTTCCAACAGTGTAGATCTAACTATAACCTTTAGCTTATCTATAGCTATTGTTTTGTCCTTGGTGCAGCAATTAGAGATATTACTTAAGTAATCAAATATTTTGATTTGATTTGAGTCTATTGCCTTTCTCCAGTAAATAAAAGCCAAGTTCGATGTGTGTGTGTGTTTTTCTTCATTTCCAGGCAAGCCGATTTTTTCAGTTGATATTCATCCTGACGGGACCAAGTTTGCAACTGGAGGACAAGGTGCGTTAATGGAGTGAACAAGGTTGAGCATCACTGCCCTACCTTCCTGCTCTGCTTCTCCTGGTTGTCTGTGGTTAACTGTAAAGAGATAAGTTGCTGATTTTCAATATGGATGTGACTCAGTGTAAAACATATAATTTGTTACCTGTACAAGTTAAATAAAACCCTTTTTGGGGGGCTGGGTATGATGTCACATGCCTAATAATCTTATCACTTGAGAGGCTGAAGAAAGAGGATCATGAGTTCAAGGCCAGCCTGGGCTACAAGCAAGTTTGAGACCAGTCAGGACTGTGTAGCAATTCCCTGTAGTATAATCTCTATAGGTAATTTGATTGTGCTTATCATTCTAATTACTATTTACCGAATTAAAGTGAATATATCCCCATACCCAAGCTTATTGAATGTGTAGGATAGCAAGTAGTCCCTTTCATCCCCATGGGCAAAGACTCTGCCCATGCTTTTCTTATCTAAAAAAGAGAGGGGATGGTTAAAATAGCAAGTCATGTATTAGGGCCAGTTTTTACACAGGAATTACACTGGGTTAGAAAAAAAATACATTATAGACAAACAAGAATGCCCACAACATATGAAAATATGATCCTGCTATTGACAACATATATTAGAATCTTTGGGGTAGCTTAGGTCCATTTGGAAAGACAAAACCATTTCTCAAGCCAGAAAACAAAGATAATGATTGTAAGTAGCATTCCCACAGGCCCAAGACCCCATGCCTTTCTCTAGCCTCCTGAGGTAGCACCTACTAGGTCATGCCTTTGTGAAGGCATCTTCAAATCTGGTGTTACGTTGGAGGGGGGGCGGGGGATGTAGCAACAGATCCCTCTGCCTGAAGTCAAGAAATACAGAGAAGGCAAGGAAGACTTTCCTTCTCTGTATGCTACAAAAAGAACCTATATTCTCATGTTCGAGTGTTAGACTTAGGTGGGGAAACTGAGGTTGTTTCTTCATCTTCAAGGTAGGCACACCCTCTACCACTCAGGATAGTAGGGAATAGAATAGGAAAGATGTTGAGGAAATATTTTTCATACTGGCCAAGAAGAAACTTCAAATATTATTTCTTTGGCATGTCAATTTCCAGGCATTCATTGTGTTTTCATCATTTTATTATTAGTAAAGGAAAACTTAATAAGAGAAATCATTAGTAAATGCACAGATAAAGTTTTCAGCAGAGCCGTGCATCAGCTTATGAACCATAGGAATCCTAAATCCCTTTTTTTGGTTGATCTCCCATCTATAGGTGACTTCAAAGGGCAGATAAGAAGGTAACAAGCCCTTTTTCCTGTGTTCAGGGCATTTCAAATCTGGGTCTCAAAGCGTCCAGTCAGCTCTGAAAACAGCCATGGATCCAGGCAGCACCTTGAAGGGGAGGGAAACCCTGGTAGGGACTGTGCTTTTCTCCTTGCTTCCTCGGGTGCACATGCACAGGCCTGAAAGGGTCCTGGGACATTAACTTTTCCATCCTCTTTAGTTTGCAGATGAGGAGTCTGGGTCCTGGGCAGGGAAGAGAATCCTTTAGGGGCCCCTGGGAGATTAAAGGCCAGACCAGAGCTCAGTCCCCTCCTAATGTCTAGTCCAGAGTTCTTTTCACCAAAGTCAAGCTGGACTCAACTACTATTAAATCCATACTCTTTTTGGGTCCCCATGAGTACTTCTTTTTCTTCATTTCTTCTATAGTAAATTATATTAGTAATTCAAGTTCTGTCTCCTTAAATCTAATTATGCTTTATGGAAGCACAATGAGGACTTCCCATAGTTAATATTACATGTTAATATCTACTTTCTACTCCTTGCACATTAAGCAATTTCTGCTCCTTCATTCCAGGGCAGGATTCTGGGAAGGTTGTGATCTGGAATATGTCTCCAGTCCTCCAGGAGGATGACGAGAAGGATGAAAATATTCCCAAGATGCTTTGCCAGATGGACAATCACTTAGGTATTACAGAGTGGCCCTTTGCAGGCTTTGAGTGTTGGCAGAGTGCCCAAGGTTAGCACATGTGTTTGTAATTAGAAAGATAAGGCCCCGTGCGGCGGTAATTCCCCTCGGCCTGCTGTCTGAAGGCACAGATGTTGGCTGCACACCTGGGTGAGTTATTCGGCAGAAGACTCGGCCCGCCCACAGAACCATCTTTGGACAGTCTGCAGGTACCTCTGGTGATTTCCTGCTCATGAGTCGTTACTGCCTGATTCCATGGGGCTTTGGGGCCAGCGACTTGGACATAGTAGGGTTCTGGGGAAGGGTGCATAAAAGACAAATCACTCAATCAAATGTCTCAGATTGGCTCTGTGTCATTCGGAGGCTCTCTGCCGGGACTCTTTAGACTGTTGGACAGTGCCATGGTTTCCTTTCTTGGTGCAGTACCTAAGTGGCCCACCCTTAAGATGCCCATTAGCAGTTACTGGCCTTGGGATGTCAGCCTCTTCCTCTGCTTTGTGTGTTCTTGCCCTCCCAATATGCCTTTCAAGAGTCCTTGGGCTTGGAGCACAACCAGTTGTTACTCATAGGCTGTTGACTACAACGTATTTCAACATATTTCACATATCCCAAGGACCAGCCTGTGTGTGCTCCTGGAGGCTCTGACCTAGGAGGATTTCTGCTGATCTTAATTTACAAGTAATAAATTAATCTACCATGCTAATGAGTTTAGAAAATCAGACTTTAAAGGTCTAGCTCTGACAAGTGAAATGACAGGTTTACACTCTACCAGTCTATTATGAAACAAAGCACATTGACATTTTGAGCACATGCTTTCATTTTGAGAATAATCCCCAGTCAGAAGTGCATCTCATCAATGGACAGCCCATTTGAAATAATTAGATTTATCACTCTTTATGGAAATAAGCCTCCTGTTGTCTGCTTCATTCACCGCTAACAATCTTCAGATTATGCATATTTGCCCCCTCCAGACTGTTCTGATAATTTGTCATAGCACAAGTGGGTTAGTGCTTCAATGGAATTGTTTTTCTGGGGCTCTCACACAGTAGATGCCTTAAATAGATTAGATAGATTTTATAAACCCTTTACATCTTGCCGAATTCTGCATGAAGCAAATGGGCATGACTATTGGATTTTCATCATCCTATTTTTTTTCTTCCCAGCATGTGTGAACTGTGTGCGGTGGTCAAACAGTGGGATGTATTTAGCTTCTGGGGGAGATGACAAACTGATTATGGTGTGGAAGCGGGCTACGTAAGCATCATTTTCCTTTCTTCACATTTAATTTTTAGAAGCTTCTTTGCTGGTCTTTATCAAAGTCACTTTTCTCACCCTGGCACTAATGTCCCTAGAGCTCCTACTTCTTAAATAACAGGAAGCACTCATAGGTCAGGAGCAGATGAGCACTGATCAGGGAGAACTGGGAGGCTACTGGCCTACCTGCTATCCTGGTCAGCTCCCTCCTTGTAGGGATGCAGGGCTTTCACCTGAAAAGGATTGGTTAATTCTCTTAAGTGTTAACATTGTGGCTTCATTTGTTTTGTTCTTCAAGTGAAATTTCACATGGAGCCTAGCATAAGAAACAGTTAAAAAGATTCTAATGTTATAGGGTATCGGGGAGACAGAACTCCACCTCCCTTCATTCTATGGCAGCCACAACTTGAAGCAGCCCCTGCTCTGCACCCAAAATAAGCTGAGCATCACCTGGGGAGCCATTTTCCTTTTCCCTTTCAGGGTGAGTCCTGAGACAGTTCTCCAATAAGTTCTTCATGTGATTCTTGGCCATTTATGCAGAGCTGATGGACCCAGCATCATTATTCAGCTAGAGTGGCTCGGTGGCCATTGGTTTTGAGAACAGAGGCATGCTATCTACTGGGCCCACTTGTCTGCCTCACGAGTTATCTGTGGGTTGGTAGAGAGCTTTATGAAAGCAAATCCCTTGCTCAAAGAACAAACCCTTTGTTCACAGCTAGCCTTGGTGGTGCCTGTCTTCATATGACTGCTCATCTGGAAGGAGTTAATGCCTGAGGCTCCATGGTTTCTCTGCCTTAGCTTGCATTTCATTTATTATTAGGAGACTTAAAAATACTATTGATCTTGACCCCTGTGGTGGTGCATAGCTATAGCCCTGGCTACTAAGAAAGCCGAGGCAGAAATGTTACTTGAACCCAAGAGTTCAAGACTAACCAGGACAGCATAATGAGACTCTTCCTCAAAAAAAAAAAAAAAGAAAAGAAAAAAAGCATTAATTTGCTACTTTAAATAGCCACAATGTATAACATAGCAAACAATTTGGAAAGGTTTAAAAAAATTACAGGGGGGTGGGGGCGGAGGAGAGAAATGTCTTACAGTCCTACCCCCTAAAGAAAGCCATGGCTAATGTTTTGGTATTTTTGGTGAATATCCCTCTGCTCTACTCCATGCATAGATGATGTCCACATTACATGTACCTTTTCCCTTGCATAAGGGACATCATATTGTATATGATGTCTTGTGGCCTGCTTCTTTTAGTTAATCTATTGTGAACATTTAATCTGTGCAAGATTGCAGTGGTTGTGTAACATTTCAGTGAGTGCATGGATAACTTCTTTATTCAGCCTCTTTTGTCACACAACCCAGTGTTTTCCAGCCATTGTCTGCTTTTGCTTTGTACTATCTGCCATGCTAAGCCATGCTACATTGAGTATTTCTGAAATGCCAGAGATACCTGTCTGACTCCTGTTTCATACAGGTACATCGGGCCCAGCACTGTGTTTGGTTCCAGTGGTAAGCTCGCCAATGTGGAGCAGTGGCGGTGTGTCTCCATCCTCCGGAGTCATTCAGGCGGTAAGTAGGACTTCCTATTGGGTGGGTAAGCTCTGGCAGTGGCCTTAGATTAGCAGCACTTCTATTTTCCATGTGCTACCATTTGGTCTTAGAAGCAGCCCTGTATCTAAGCTGTCCCTTTTCATCACCATTGGTTACCAGTTTGTCCCTCAAGGTTTATGCAATCATTAGTTCCTGCTTGTTTCCAACTGCATGCAGTCCCCCTATCCTATCCTTTAATATCAAACTTTCCACTTTCTGCATTTTATCCTTCTGAACTGAAGTTAGTACCCTTTATTTGTGGATTACTAAATCTGTAAACACTATTCCTGAGAAACCAGTCTGCAAGTCCCAGTGAAGTTTCTCAGTCTGACCTTGAGTGTGTTTTCAATATTTTTAGTTTGATATGTTTAGTTTGGAAAGCAGCACATTGGAAAAAGGTACATTTCAACCTCTTTCAGTTGAAGAGGAAGATTGGTCTATAGCAGTCCAAACCTTACCCTTTAGGTACCAGATACCAGGAATACAATCTAGATAATAAGTACAATTTAGGCTTATTTCAGAAAGCCTTCATTCTAGCCCCCAGGCAAAGAATATAAAGGGTTGGGTTTTTGTTTGTTTGTTTTTGTTTCTTTCTTTCTTTTTGAACAGACAGCAGTAGGGATGAAGGCTTGGTATGAATGTTGACTTTGAAGCCTTTCATTATGGCTAGATCTTTTTTTTTAATTTAAATTTTATTTTATTCGTGAACATGCTGTACAGAGGAGTTACAATTACATGGGCAGGATAATGCGTACATTTCTTACCAAGCATTGCAGCCTCCTCCTTTGTTTACCCTTCACATCCCTTCCCAGCCTCCCCCCT